CATTTCTGTTGGGATTCATTTATTTTCTATAATTGAAACTTTGTAGCCTTAAGTGGAGGCCTGGGCAGGCCAGGGCAGGTGGAAAGCTTGGCTTCCTCCATCTCCAGGGGCAACTCAAACCTCCTGCTTTCTCTAGCTCCATGGCTGCCACCATTTTTTGTTTGAATTCATTTATCTTCTATCATTGAAACTTTATAGCATTGAGTGGAGGCCTGGGCCAGCAAGGGCAGGCAGAAAGCTTGGCTTCCTCCATTGCTGGGGAAACCCAAGCCTCCCTCCTGCTCTCTGTGGCCACAGCCATCTTGGTTGGGCTTATTTGAATATTTGCTGTTGATTTACTGGTGGGCATGGTGTGTGTGTGTGTGTGTGTGTGTGTGTGTGTACTCTTTTATTAGATAGGATAATTGAAACTTTGTAGCCTTGAGCAGAGGCCAGGGCAGGCAGGGCAGGCAGAAAGCTTGGCTTCCTCCATTGCTGGTGAAACCCAAGCCTCCTGCTCACTCTGTGGCTGCAGCCATTTTTGTTGGTATTTATTTATATTCTATAATTGAAACTTTGTAGCCTTGAGCAGAGGACAAGGCAGGCCAGAAAGCTTGGCTTCCTCCATCACCGGGGGCAACCCAAACCTCCTGCTCTCTCTAATTCTGTGGCTGCCACCATTTTGGTGGGATTTGTTTATCTTCTATAATTGAAACTTTGTAGCCTTGAGTGGAGTCCAGGGCCTGCCAGGGCGTGTGGGAAACTTGGCTTCCTCCATTGCTGGGAAACAAAAGCCTCCTGCTTGCTCCATGGCCATAGCCATCTTGGTTGGGTTAATTTGCATATTGCTCCTGATTGGCTGGTGGGCATGGCATGTGAGTATAGTAGAGGTACAGTCAGTTTGCATATTACTCTTTTATTAGATAGTATGTAAAATTTTATATTTTATTTTATATTTTATAATACAGAATAATAAATATGTTTAGAAGGAAGAAAATACTACCATACACAGTGAAATAAGCCAGTCAGAGAAAGATAAATATCACATGATCTTACTCATTTTTGGAATATAAAGAACATCATAACTGATGAACAAAAATAGATCCAGAGATAGAGAAGCATCAAACAGACTGCCAAACTTCAGGAGAACACAGGGGAGGACTTGGGAGGAGAAGGTAAAGGACCTATATGCATGCATATAAGCATAACCAATGGACACAGACAACAGGGGGGTGAAGGCATGTGCCATGGAGTCAGGGTCCCAGGGGAGGACAATGGGGAAAAGGGAAACATAGGTAATACTATATGTAATACTTATAACAATAAAAACAAAACAATAAAATCTACCATACAGCTATGGCCTCAACACAACCTTACTTAAAATTTCTCCAAGTCTTTTTTAAAAATTATTTCTTAATTACTGATTTCAGAGAGGGAGAGAGATAGAAATATCAATGATGAATGAATCATTGATTGGCTGCCTCCTGTACACCCTAAACTGGGGATCAAGCCTGAAACCCAGGCATGTGCCCTGACCAGGAACTGAACCATGATCACCTGGTTCCTAAGTTAATACTCAACCACTGAGCCATAATGGCTGGGCTAATATTTAATTTTTAATATATAAAATGTGTTCATCTTTTCCTTCATGTGTCCTTTCTTCCTTGAAAAGGCTTTTTCCTAAGCTTATAAAGCAGTCTCCAAATTTTACTTATAAATATATTCCATTTGGTAGATTTAGGGCTTTAATTAACCTGAAATTCATTTTCTGTTTGATCTAATAGGGAGTGGTGTCTTCTTCCATACTGTCAATAATGCTAGTTTCTATCATTCATGAGTGGTCACACTTTCCCCTTTCCACCATGCTCTCTTTTCAGCCCCTGCTCAACAAGGGCTGAAACTGAGCCATTATAATTTTTAATACTTCATATCTTATCTTGCTTGTCAGTACTATCAAATTAGTCTTTAGTTTTCAGCAAAAGAAGTCAGTGTGAATAGACAGCCCATAATAAAAAAAAAAAAGTACCCCTTTTTTATTATTATAAGAAAAAAATCAGGAGAATTATAAAATTTTGACATAAACTTAATTACATTTAAGTTTCTCAATATATGTCATTCCATTTAATTACATAAAACATAGTTACATTTATGTGTCTGACTTTTCCCTATCTGTGGCAATTCAGTTTGGGTTTTTATTTAGCACTAGAGGCACAGTGCACGAAATTTGTGCAAAGGTTTTAGCTCTCACAGCTCTGGCTTCATCCAGAAGGTCATCCAGACTGCCTTTCGGTCTCATTAGCATATTAATTCATTATTATATAGGACTAGTGGCCAGGTGCAGAAAATTAGTGCATGGGGGATGAGGGGGTTCCCTCAGCCCAGCCTGCATCCTCTCCAATCGGGGACCCCTTGGGTGATGTCTGGCTATTATTATAAATAGTATAAACAATATTACTCTCCATTTCATTTAAATTATAATGCCAACTCATTAGACCAAAGTCATATAAACTGACAACCTCTTATCTGGAACATGATGAGGAAGCAAGAAAAAATATTTAAAGACAAAAGAACCAAATAATTATAACAAGGCCGTGTTCTAAAATGTATCCAACATATTCATAGGAAGCCCCTGGCTTCTCATTCCTCATTATGAGCGAAGTACTTTTATTTTATACACAGTTCTAAAAAGGTTTGTTCTTTCACTGCCCCAGTGGTCGGCAAACTCATTAGGCAACAGAGCCAAATAACAAAGGTACAACGATTGAAATTTCTTTTGAGAGCCAAATGTTTTAAACTTCTTCTAACGCCACTTCTTCAAAATAGACTCGCCAAGGCCATGGTATTTTGTGGAAGAGCCACACTCAAGGGGCCAAAGAGCCGCATGTGGCTCACAAGTCGCAATTTGTCGTCCAAGGCCCTAGACAATCAGAAGCAACAGATCACTGAGAAATCGAGAGGAAGAGACAGAGGAGGAAGAGAAGCCAGGAGAGATTGGTCCTTAGAGAAGTACTTATTGCTAAGAGTGGGAAATAACAGGGCTACAGAGGAGGAGACAGAAAATGGACACAAAGGCATGGACCAGCCGGTGAACTCTGACAGCACCATTGCATGATAGTTTGGGAGAGCTAACAATGACTCTGTCTCTATGAAAAGAAGTTTCCTTATATTCAAACTATCTCCACTCCTTTCTGGAAGAGGAATAGGTTGGGCAAAAGTAGGTTTATAGCTGTGAGTGCACAAAATAGAGATTATCCTTCTATTATTTTTTATTAATTGTTATTTTCCATACAAACAACTGTAAACCTACTTTTGCCCCACCCTATATATGATTATTTAATTAAATTTATAAATAAACATCTAATTTTTATTTGCTATAATCCTATAATGAAGGCAGCAGTATATTATAGCTCTTAGACAACTGTCTATTAAAGTAGAATTCTTACAGAGAGGAAGGCTGTGTGAGAATGAAGGCAGAGATTAAAGTGATGCATCACAAGCCAGGATATTCTAAGAATTGCTGGCAGCCATAATAGGTAGGAAAGATCAACACATTCCACAAATTTTTTTATCTTGACAAAGAATGATCAAATCTTTTTTTTTTTTTTTTTTTTTTTTTTTTGGTAAGTAAACACTGTTTCAGAGGCAGAACGGCTTTCATATATTTTTATTGATTTCAAAGAGGAAGTGAGAAGAAGAGAGAGATAGAAACATCAATGATGTTGCCCTAACTGGTTTGGCTCAGTGGATAGAGCGTCAGCCTGTGGACTGAAGGGTCCCAGGTTCGATTCCAGTCAAGAGCATGTACCTTGGTTGCTGGCATACCCACATAGGGGGTGTGCAGGAAGCAGCTGATTGATGTTTCTCTCTCATTAATGTTTCTAACTCCCTATTCCTCTTCCTTCCTCTCTGTAAAAACATCAATAAAATATTTTTAAAGAAATATCAATGATGAGAGAGAATCATTGATTGGCTGCCTCCTGTATACACACCCCTACTGGGAACTGAGACCAGAACCAGAGCATGTGCTTTGACCAGGAATCAAACTGTAATCTCCTGGTTTATGGATCAACACTCAGCCACTGAGCTATACCACAGTCAGGTAAAAATGACCAAATATTAACTCCTAAAGAGCCTGTGTACTTCCAGTGCAAGATTTGTCTATGATGAAATTAACCAGAAATGATGCATTTGATAATGATGAAAAAGAAGAGATGGTCCTTGGGCCTGAAGAAGAAATGATACCTGGAGATTAAGAAAAATCTACATGTGTTCTAATGGGACAAACAAATGTTTATTCTTGCTCAGTGGAGGTTCCCAAACCCCAGATCCAACACATGCCTGGAACTTCAACTCTCAAGAGAGACCAAAGAGTTAAGCCCTGTCTTTTATTTTTTTTTTTAATTAATATATTTTTATTGATTTCAGAGCGGAAGGGATAGGGAGGGAGAGACAGAAACATCCATGATAAGAAAGAATCAATGACTGGCTGCCTCCTGCATGCTCCCAACTGGGGATCTAGTCCACAACCCAGGCATGTGCACCGACCAGGAATTGAACCATGACCTCCTGGTTCATAGGTTGATGCTTAACCACTGAGCCATGCCAGCTGGGCCAAGCCCTATCTTTATATCTAAAATCACATTCTCTTTCCTAGTTTCTTCAAACAGTAGAAAGAAGATATGGAAGAGAAACTGAGTCACATAATATTTCATCCTATGGTTTACATCATGTATTCTATGCTTGCTATCTTCTATGCTTTGCTAATAATACACTGTGCCAAGATCTTAGAATGGAAAATGACAACTTTTCTCTCAAGAATCTGACTCCAAATAATGAACTGAGGCTTTTAGATTGCTGTATCTCTTGTGTCTTCTAAAAAAAAAAAAAAAAAAAAAAAAATTAATCAAAGCAATTAAAGAATGAAAATTCACTAGAAAAGCAGATTATTTACTCTGTTCAGGTTCAAAAGGGGAGTAACCATACTCTTTCTTTCCTTTTTTTTTTTTTTTTTTTTTGTTCAGTTGGAAAGACAGCTAATGATGCAGAACGAAATGAGAGAAAGACAAATGGCCATGCAGATTGCTTGGTCTCGGGAATTCCTCAAATATTTTGGAACATTTTTTGGCATTGCAGCCATCTCTTTAACAGCTGGGTATGTTTGTTATTTACTTTAAAATTTTCTTAAGTTATTTATTTATTTTGTCTTTGCCATTATCATATTACTAGAGGCCCAGTGCACGAAATTCATGCACGGGGTGTGTCCCTTAGTCCAGCCTGCACCCTCTCCCATCTGGGACCCCTCAAGGGATGTCCAACTGCCTATTTAGGCCCGATCCCGGTAGGATCGGGTCTAAATGGGTAGCTGGACATCCCTCTCACAATCGAGGACTGCTGGCTTCCCAACTACCCTCCCCTGCTGATCATCTTGTGACCTCATGGGGGTAGCCATTTTTGACCACATGGAGCAGCCTTTTTGTGTGTTGGAGTGACAGTCAATTTGCATATTACTCTTTTATTAGATAGGATAGAGGCCTGCTGCATGGGTGGGGGCCAGCTGGTTTGCCCTGAAGGATGTCCTGGATCAGAGTAGGGATTCCCTTGGGGCATGAAGTGCCTGGGCAAGGGGCCTGTGGTGGTTTGCAGACCATCCACCCCACCTCCTCAACCCCCCGGCGACCCAAGTGGAGGCCCTAGGATCTGGGATTTATTTATCTTCTATAACTGAAACTTCATAGCCTTGAGCGGAAGCCTGGACCAGCCACGGTGTGCAGGAAGCTTGGCTTCCTCCATTGCTGGGGAAACCCAAGCCTCCTACTCACTCCATGGCCGCAGCAATCTTGGTTGGGTTAATTTGCATACTTGCTCCTGATTGGCTGGTGAACATGTTTATTGGTGTAATGGAGGTATGGTCAATTTGCATATTACTCTTTTATTAGATAAGATTATTCAGTTGGCCAAGACAGGACTTTGATCCAAATACTGTGCATATAAACAAAGTAATCCATTATAACTTAATCCCTGGAGGTAATTCTGTAGAAACAGGGTAGCAATAGTTAATTCTGCCTTTAGTTTATTAGATTGCCTTTGCTCTTTTCTCCATTTTACAAGTTAGAGAACTAACTTGGCACTGAGACAGGAGGCTTCTACAAGTTTATCTCTACAATCTTTAAACAGTAGATATTAACACTTTACTATTTATAAAATGAGTAATCTGGGCCTCAACATCAAATATAAATGAGTAATTCATAGACCCTGCTTGTCCTGGAGAACTGTAGAATCTGGTGAGGGGTTATGGGTAAGGAAGTCCTATTTTCAAAGAAAATACAAATGAATTAAGTAACTTTTGAAATGAAGGACATTCTTTCAAAAAGGAGGTAAAAAATTTGTTCATCGAGTATAAAGATATATATTTACTGTTTATTTCTTGATATTTATTTTTCTTTGTTCTTGAACCAGAGCAATAAAAAGGAAGAAGCCAGCCTTCCTCTTCCCTATTATTCCATTAGGCTTTGTCCTCACCTACCAGTATGATTTGGGCTATGGAACTCTTCTACAAAGAATGAAAGGTAAGCTTTTGATAAACCAGACTCCATTTCTTACTCATTAACTGGTTAAAGGATCCCTTTCTTATGACTCCTTGACTTAGTAAGATTCTGACAAGACCCTCTCCCTGGTTTTTAAATATAATAATTATTAAAATTTATGTTATATAAATTTACAATGAAATAAATTACAAAAAAATAAGCATTATATTAAAAACAATATTAAAAAGTACTCAACTGATCAGCTTCTAATTATTATACTGTAATCTACACATTTAGTATACTCTTAAGTTATGAATATCTACTGTATCTGTATGGCAGAAATGCAAATATGGTAGAAATGCAGATACAATATACAAATACAATAAAATACAGATACAACTCTAACTTTAGTGACATCCCATTGGTACCCTGAAGTTAATTGTGATAGAAGTATTTACACCATGGAAATCTGCAAATGTTAAATCAAGACTTGACTTATTATGTTGTTGTTGTTGTTGTTGTTGTTGTTGTTGTTTATTTAGACCAAGAGTTGGTATACTATGGCCTGTGGGCTGGCCACCTATTTTTTAAAATAAAGTTTTATTGGAACATTGACATGACTAAATTTATCATCCAGCCATTCTGTAAACACATATTGAGTTTTGCTACATGCCAGCAAGACATTCTCACATGGAAACATCTACCGGTAGTCTGTTACCAATGGCCGGCCTAATTATATCAAGTTAGAATGATTTTCACTTACTATTTGAGACTGAAGAAAGAAGTGTTGGGAGATGGCTGAAATACTCTTATAATTTGAAAAATTTTAGTCTGTTAGGTTTGGAGTATAAATTGTGTGCTAAAAGAACTTAAAGAAAACATTTGCCTTCATTTCCAAAGTTTATAAAATGGCAATGTGTATTATGACACAATTTTAAAATTAATTTTGCTAATTAGTCTTCAACATTAAAAGTTAGCAAATGTTAATTGGTCCAACAAATTACTAGCTATTATCTGAAAGAGGAGCTGTTTATAGAAATGTGTATATGTGTGTGTATATAGGCATACAGATTAAAGAATATTTAATATTATTTGGGGTATTTAGAAGTATTTTCAGGTCAAATATTGGCTTTCCTAAAAATTTAGAATTTTCAGGAAATTTTATTTTCTCACATATGGCATATTAAGAGGCAAAAGAAGGGGACTACCTCAAACTCCCTCCAAACACAACTAATCTTTAGTACCCTGACTTTCTGTCAAATAAAATGGTGTCTGATTTATCTATCTGTGAGTCTTCAGAATTCATCACTATATTTCCTTTGGGAGACCACTTCTGAGGACAGTAGGTGAAATATTTAACTGTAAGATTTGAGGAACACAGCAAGTAGGTCTTCCCATTTCTGCTGATACTTCATTGTCACCTTGTATATGTCTGTACTTTATTTAAGGTGAAGCTGAGAACATACTGGAAATAGAAAAGAGTAAGTTACAGCTGCCAAAAGGAATGATTACTTTTGAAAGCCTTGAAAAAGTCAGAAGGGAACAAAGTAAATTCTTCATAGACAAATGATATCATGTTTACCCACTGAAACTCAAAACACAAAATTGTTGACTTAAATAATGGTTTTCACAATTGTTTAAGTGTCCAAGATTTTGATATAATGGATTTCATTTTAAAATATTAAAATATAAGATCAGGTTTGTTAAGCTATTTTGAAATAAAATTTATAGCATTAAACAAAAAAGGAGGTATTCTAAGTAACTTTTAAATTTCACATATATGTATATTACAAATATGTAAATATAAAATTAATAAACTATATTGTTTTGAATTACTGAAAGTAAATGTCCTACAGCTCTCATTTTTCTGTCTTATACACCTTCCCCATCACATTCATCTTTAATTTGGATTTGTCAGTTGTGTCCTATCTCCACCTGACAGAAACAACTCATATAATGACTAGTATGTATATTGTGTTTCCTATGGCCAGTCACTCTTCTGAATGGTTTGCATAGATCTAGTACAGGAAGGACTGCTTCTCTGCAGAGATTACATATGAGCTGAGAATTGAATAATGAATGAGCCAATTGTGTAAAAAGCAAGTATGGGGGCAAGGGAGGGATTTCTAGGCAAAGGGAAAAGCCAGAAGAAAGACTCAGACTTGTCAAAGAATGGAAAGAAGCCCAGGGAGAATCATAGATGAAATCTGAAGGAGAGAAATAAGCACAAATACAAGGCTTATGAAGCTGATAATACATTAATATATGTCTTTGATACAATTATAGTTGAAGGGAACCCTGGGGCCAGGTCTTGAAGTATGCATTGAGTTCTCCATGAAGACAAGAGTGTGAAAATGAAGTGCATCCTTGGCAGAAAAAGAAGAATGACTAAAGAGAGTGCCATGCATGTCAAGTCCAGGGATTTGCTGCTGGTTGAGTTTGCCTGGGGCAAAAGATTCCTTACTTGGAAGACTTGTTAAGAAATAAGCTTGAAGGCACAGCTCAACTCCTTTGGTGTAACACCAAGGAGGTTGTGCTCTATCCTATGGGGACTAAAATTACAACTCCATCAAGTTTATATGGTATTCCACCTAATTCAGTTTGTGTTTGGGGATAATTCTGAAGGGTCCTTATGGTACAGTACTTAAATGCACTTTGTAAAAGATTATAGCAGTGCCCAGATCCACTCAAAACAGTTTTAGTAACAAATATTGAAAATATATTGTCAAGATATTAAAGTAGGAAGGAAGACCCTTAGAAATGATCTAATCTAAATCCCATTTTACAATTGAGAAAATGGAGGTTCATAGTGATTTACCTAAAGTTCCATATCTGGTAAGGATAGTGGGTACTAAAACCCTGATGTCTGATATCCCTAGAAGGATTCTTCCCAATACAACATGATGCTTGACTTCAAAAGAAAGTGACAAAGTAAATATCAAAAATAATTTTTAAAAATTATGACCTATGTTCAATTTCAGAGCCTTAGAAAATGTCCCAGAGATGTGGTTAGAATAGGATAGGGAAGTAGCAGAGTCAGACTGAAAATATAATCTACAACCAATGTAATTGGAATATGAATAATCTGAACTTGATACTATATTTTATAGGCTTCAACAATTTTAATATATGCATATTCAAATGTGATATTTTAGAGACACTAGCCAGAACCTAGAAAGCTTTTCTGTTCCACTCTTATGAGAAAAGAACAAACCCTTGCTGGGAAAATATTATTAATTAAGCCTTATTACTCATTCATTGTGGTGTCTCTTAGCCTTGGAAGATGTCTGTTCTGTGAGAGGGTTGGAAAATGCTTTCCTAGGTTTGGCCTTGTGGGTGCCTACAGGAGATTTCAGAAATACCTTGCAAACTACAAACTGTCCAATTTGAAGAAAGTAGTTTCTAATATTCAGGGCTGACTATTTAACATCTCTACTGATTTTTTTTACTGGTAATTTTGGGATTTGGAGTTTATGAAAATTGAAGCAGTACTTGGGCTGCAGATGTACCAGGAAGCCCAGGCTGGCTGGAAGCAGAGGAGCGTTGGGGGCGACAAGTATGAAAAGCCTAGAAAATAAGAGAGCCAAGAAGAATAATCTTCATAAAGGGATGGAGCTGACTCAAATGCCTCTCACAGTAAATGGCTGCCAGGGTTCCATTACTGGCTTGGGGGAGCTGAGCTCTCTAGAGACCAAAGTCACCCATGGGATCCCCTTAGAGGCCTGTTTATTTTGCTGTGATAACTTCTTCCTCTGGCTACTTGGATGGTAGTAAGGAGAGTGTCTGGAACAACACAAATTTATCATAACTGCTGATAAAAGTAACTGGAACCCTACATCCCACTGATACTTAGTGGTCACTGAGTCTGAGATTTACCGTTTCCCCGAAAATAAGACAGTGTCTTATATTAATTTTTTCTCCCAAAGATGCGCTAGGTCTTATTTTCGGAGGCTGTCTTATTTTCGGTTCATTATTTCTCAGTTCACAAGTGTCACGGGGTTAAAAGATAGATTGCTAACCTCAGTTTATTCTTTTTCTTGGAGGACTTCATCTGTGGTCAGAAGCACTGTGTAGATGTTTTCTGCTCTGCCAGGACATGAAGGACAGGCAACCCCTGAGCCTCAGTTGATTTGGGCATTTCATTTGGTGTTAAAGAACAGAGTTCAGAATATGTCTCATGAAGTCACATCCTAGAGAGGACTGGAAATCTGGGATTCTAGCTTGGTGGGGATTTCAAAAAACTATAAGGAAACAGCTGTTGAAGGTATGTAAAAGTCAATGGATTTCAATCAATTGAAATGAAATAAGGAAGGTCTGTGAAAAGTTATCAAGGTGTCAGGATTGGGCTTTGAGGAACATCTATAACTATTTTTCCTAAAACTCCCACACCATTAATTTCTGCTGATGAAGATCTGACAAAAGTAGAAGGTAGTATCTACCAAGAAGAGAGAGAGAGAGAGAAAGAAAGAGAGAGAGAAAGAGAGAGAGAGAGAGAGAGAGAGAGAATGAATGAGAATGAATTACATCCCATAGAAATTCAATATGGATTTTGGATACTCGACAATTTCATTTCTTGAAATGCTCCAGAGAAGACTTGGCATCCAGAATGCTTTTCATCTTCAAGGAACTAAGATATTTGAAAGGAGTCCAACTAATGCTATGTATTTCAAACTAGCAATAACAAAAAGACACCTATGGTTTGAATAGTTTGTGCCTCTAGGTCAGGGGTGGGGGAAATCCAGTCTGCAGGCTATATAAGGTTCCTGAAATCATTTGGCCTTGTCCTACCAAGGCATTAGGGATGAGTTAATTAAATGTTTGACCAAATATAACAGCCTAATTTTTAAACTGATAGTTTTGTATAGCCTGATAATGATGTTATAAATATCCAAATGGCCCTTGGCAGAAAAAAGGTTCCCCAACCCTGCTCTAGATCATTCTTCTTTGAATTCAATAGCCATGAGAAACACAGGATGCTAGACTGACCTTCCATCCAGTTTTCTTGTATGGACTGAAAACAAAGGACAAGCCTACCACCTCTG